TAGCTTAGTTTTGGAAGGAAATTAATATCATGGATGAGAAAGCATAATTGATGGTTGTTGACTTATGTTCTCCGTTTTCGCCAAAACATCATTTCTCTGGTCGACTAGTCGTAGCGTAGCGCAAGACCTGGATGTAGTAGGAATGGATGGGATTGGGATCGCGAGAGCTTTCTCTTGTTTTAAAGGGAGCAGAAGACAGAAGATAGTTAGGGACCATTTAAGGCATTAACCTATTTCATACTCAGACTCGGTCAATGTTTATAATTTCGAAACTTGATCCATAGATGCATTATCGATTTCTGAACTCACTAATACATTATTAATATTTTATTGATTTCAATTATCCTAAATCTATACTATATATGTCATCTTCCTCCCCTTTAAAATTTATTCCAAAATTCTTATTCTAAATTTCTTTTTTTTAATAATCTTAATTTTTTAAATCCACATTATTGGTCACGTTGAACCAATCACGTATCCACATTATGGTCAGAAGTTACTTCAAAACAAGACTCTTGTGCTCTCTATTATCTTTTCTATGTGTAAGTGTGGTGGTGTGGTGGTAAGGCAATATGCGATGGTCTCATTCAAGGATGAAGATGGGATTGGATTTGGGTTAGGTTGCGTAGGTAGGCTTAATCTTTTCGGGAAAAATAGGTTACGGGGATTTCGGCTAGTGAATTCTCGCAAGTCTCACGGTTTGCCTCCTCTCTTTTTTATAGAGGTGATTCCGAGGCCATAAGGAGAAGAAGTAGACTTTTCCTATTGAGGAAGGAGACCTTTGTCCTCACGCCAGTCRTTAGACAGACACCATTAACTTTTGCCACGTGTTCAATGAGATCCTCTACGAATAAAGTTTCTTTTTCTCTTGAGGATTCTTACATGGCACGTGTTGGTTACGTCATTTTATGGGTTTTCTCATGGTCATGTGTCAGGGTAGGATCTTGGTCCAGCTGGCGTGTTTGATCATCTCATGGATCATCATCGAGACGCCTTGTCATAGCTTGTTGTGACTGTTAGAAGTGTAAGTCACATGTAAACAAGTATCATCGGTCTTGGGCTTTAACTATCGTTCGTTACGGTATGAGCTGCTATTCTATGCTCATCGCAGAGTTTTGGTAGTATATTAGGTCCATCACAGACTTGCGGTATCGTTTTATGTCCATTGCAGGTCTCAGGTAGCACTCTTTGCACATCATAGGTGAAGGTACTTCATGTTCATCACAAGTGTGTAGCCTTACATTACTTCGATAAAGTGTCGTGCTATTATAGAAGTGTCTTAGTTACTCTGGTACATTAGACATTGTTCATCGCCTTGTTTAATCTAATCGCTCTATCATTTCAGATTGGGATCTCTCTTAGTCTTTGTTTAAAGTCTTGATTGTAATTCCAATAATGACGAGTTACATGTACTTACACTATGTATTTCCCTCATCCCGTTTAACATGAAAACTTCTTGGGCATAGGAGACATTTAGAGATTCAAAGCGGATAACTTGATCATTCAAGTTTTTATGTGAAAAAAGAGGGGACATTCGAGTTTAACATAAAACAAAGGGGACTCACAATTTTTTTATTGCCATCTATTGTTATTTTCTGATTTTTAATCATTAATTATTGAAAATGATAAGAAATTAGTGCAATTTTTGTTATTTAATGTTGAATTTTTATTGTAATTAACCATTATTTTCTGATTTTTAATCATTAATAATGAAAAATTATCAGAAATTAGTGTAGTTTATTGTCATTTAATATTTATTTTTTATTGTAATTTACTGTTATTTTCTGTTTTTAATAATTAATTATTGAAAATTATCAGAAGTTAGTGTAATTTTTTTTATTTAATAGTGAACTTTTTATTTTGATTTACTGTATATTTCTATTTTTAATCATTAATTATTAAAATTATCAGAAATTAGTGTAAAATTATCAAAAAATTACTGTAATTTATTTTATTTAATATTTAACTTTTCTATTTTAATTTACTGTAATTTTTTTATTTTTAATCATTAATTATTAAAATTTATTACAAATAGTGTAAAATTGTCAAAAATTAGTGTAATGTATTGTTATTTAATATTTAGTTTTTTATTGTACTTTACTGTTATTTTATGATTTTTAATAATTAATTGTTGAATATTATCATAAATTAGTGTAAATTTATAAAAAGTTAACGTAATTTATAAAAAAAAAAAATAGTGTAATTTGATCCCAAGTCTCTACAAGTCAAAGATCCAACCAATTGAGTTGGTAGGAGGAGGGTAAGGCAGTTGCGGCTAGGATCTTTGTATTGAGGGGGCCAAGTTATATAAATAAATAAATAAATATATATATATAATTCTTTTGGTTTATGGTAATGAAGAAATTATGTTAAGTCAATTGCGTTATATATATTTGCAACATAAACAACATAAATATCACTATAGAAAATCAGAAATGCATAAATGATATTAAGGGTGAGAGGACTTCCATATCAGTTGGTTATAAGCTTTATGGCAACTTGCAAATCCAGTACTACTTAATTCTCAATGTAATTGACTTATTTTTCAAAACAAGAAAAAAAGTGGAGGGGCATTAGAGAGTTATAGAACACTTCTTAACATTTTAATGGGTTTTTTGTTTTGGCTCCGCGATGGCGGATGGGGATAGGGCCAATAGGCTACCATGAATATGGATTAGCTGAACACGTAGCTGTTCAACAGGCTATGAGACCAATAATAATGCACCATGCCGGTGATAAAATACGTTGAGAAATTAAATGGTTGTAAGGCCATGCATTTTATTATTGGCATGTTATCATTAAGGGAAAATTCCCGATTAGTACCTTGTACTTTGGGCCTAATGCCACTTTGGTACCCGAACTTTAAAATGCGATAATTCAGTACTCAAACTTTTAAAACGTGACAACGCAGTACTTGTTGTTAATCAGCCAGTAAGTGACATTTGAAAAAGACAGAAATGCGCTTCAAGTGTTATTTAATTTTCTTTATCAACCATCTAAATGTTGACAAAAAATTAACAGTCCCAAATCTTTGCCTTTTCCATTCAAGAAAGTTGGGGTCATGYTTGAGTGGACATTGTAGTGACCCTAACCTTGATAAAGATGCAAGGATTTGAGACTTAATTTTTTGTCAATGTTTGGATGGTTGATAAAGAAAATTAGATGACACTCGAAGGGCATTTGTGTCTTTTTCAAATGCTACTTAATGGCTGGTTAACGACTAATTAACAGAAGGTACTGGATTGTCATATTTTAAAAGTTTGGATACTGAATTGTCACATTTTAAAGTTCAGGGACCAAAGTGACAGTAGGCCCAAAATGCAAGGTACTAATCGAGAATTTCACTATCATTAATTCCCTTAACTGTTATTGCATTCAGCTAATCCTTACTCGTGTAGCCCCTTGAAGCGATATGGAAAAGAAAATCGTTTGGGCAAGACCCAGCCCACTTCTGTCCCCAACTCCAAGAGCCGGGCTGGGTCTTAGCTTTCTCCAGGATGACTCATGAGAGGTTCATGACATGACATGAAAGGCTCTAACATTGCTTCCAATAAGAAAGGAGGCTCTAACATTTATTAACTGTTTGATGGAATTCAAGTATTCAACAGCTATGCTTTAGAGTCATCCAATATTCCAATTCTGAAACTATAGAGTATAGATTTGTTTTTGTTTTTGGGGTATTTGTAGTCCAGGAATATTTTGGTATTAATAATAAATAGTAATTTCTACTTTTCTCACTGGGGATCCTAAGGCTGAAACGTATGGCCTGAAATACAGTTGCAGCTGCTGCTACTATTAGTGTTTTAATTTCTTGGTGACATAGGCTATTTATAGCTTATTTAAAAAAAAGAAAAAGAAAAAATATTGCCATCTATAAGACCGAATAATAGGTGGCAAGCGGTGTATGCGTTTTTAGTCTTTGGTTCCAATCAGGATAGAGATGACAGACGAGTTCATTCGGGGGTACTTCAGTCAGTATAAAACCCCAACTTCAGGCAATCTTGGCATTTAAAAATGTTTGATGTAGTTCCAATGTATGGGTGCTGAAGTCATTCATTTCCCATGGAAGGAAGACCTGCACTCTGTCTCAAGGTCATAATAGTATGTCGTTTACCTCTCCAAAGTTGTATTCAAGTAATGATCGGGTGCAATGGGGGAAACCGAAACCTCCTACTAGAGTTGATAAATGTGGATGATGCAGTGGACAGGTTCTCTTGTCTTGTGGGCTAGGTCTAGTTTCCATGCATCGCAACGGATCCATTTTGTGATGCTCATGCCTTAGGCATTTAGCTTCTTTGAAGGGGTAAAGTTTGCTTAGGAACTTCAGTTGTCTAGCTCTATCCTTGAAGTTTGGCGACTCCAAAGTTACTGCTGATCTTCTGTTGGTGGACTCTGCGTTACATCCATGGCACCAGGCGGCTGAGATCGATTGTAGCCGATTGCAAAGTCTTCGTTTAAGGCTTTAAGCCTTTCCCCYTCTTCAGTCATCAGTGTGCTTCACTTCTAGAAATGTTAATATGGCTACTCATAGGGTACCCAAGACAGCACTCTCATTGTTAACAGATTGTACCTCCAAGCAAGTTTAATGAAATAGTTTGCTTAAGGGCTTTCTTCCAAAACAAGGAAAAAAAAAGAAAGAAAAAATGTGGTGTTTTTAGATTATTAGGCCACAATGATATGYTTCAGATTAGATTGTGCATTTTGAAACTCACCACACCATCACACCCCTGGTTGTGATAATGTTCTATACTGTGATGGTCAGCATCCCTCCCAAAAAGGAGGCAAACTGGCACAGTATCAAACCCACAAAACTGCAGGCTCTCTATGACATGGCCAATGAATGGACCTATCAATTGTCACACTTGCTATCTTGTAGGCTTGGCCCGTTGGCCAGATCCAATATTCTTCTCTGTTTCAAAATGCAACGGAAGTTCGAAACCATTCACTGCCAAAATTAGCAATACTCCCTTGGTTGTATCAAAATCATTGTAGGCTTTGAGTTGGTCAATAGCTTATAAAACCAACAGTTAAAAGAAATTCTGGGAAAACATTGACTATGATAACAGTCATTCTGGAGTTCACATTATCCCTCACGACAGGAAATTGGTAAATCATAAAAAAATCAATCCTCCTCCAAATTGATAGAATCCTTGAACTTTCCATACAAAATCCTCTTTAGCTCAGCCATCTGTGCAAGAACTGAATCCTTCTCTTCTTCCAACTTCTCCAAGTTCTTACTAGTCACCTCTTTCATCTGTTCTATCCTGCTCTCTACTTCTTCCCTTGGCATATGAGCAAAAACCTCCCCTATCTGGAACCTTACCACCTCATCATCTGTTAGGATTAACTCGTTGCTTGCATCTTCTAGATTCTCATTCATTTCCTGCGAAGGAGTACTAGCCAGAAAGTAATTAGACAAGTACCTGAAGAGAATCATGCATAACCAACAGAAATGAACAAACTATTATTGTTTTTTTATATCTAACAAATTATTATTGTTATTATTTGATAAAGTACCAATTTATCAAAATCTTATTGGGAGCATTGGGCAAACACACTAGAGTTGGAAATTGAACAAGCTGAAAGACAAATAATGAAGCAGAAAATTTCCACAAGTTTGAGAAACCATGGATGATGTAAAACAGACTTTTTTTTTCTTCTTTCTTTCTTTGTTTTGTTTTTTTTGATGAATCTTTATTTTGTTTTGGATGATCAAATTTCTCAAAAATAATCGAGTTAGAATAACAAAAAAAAATGTCAACGGTAGAGATAACAACAAAAAGATTGTAGTTAGAGCAGTCAACCTCCCCGAGTCAAATATACTGCCACACCAAACTCAATTAAGACCTTGAATAGTCTTAGTAAAAGAAAGAAATTGTCAAACATCACTTTTTTTTTTGATAAATGAAGAATTTATTAATGGAATAAACCAAGAGGAACTATTACAGAATACACTGGGAGAGGTACGAGCTGCAACCTCTCCAATCCATCAAGAACAAAAAGGATTACAATTGAGCCCAATACAGATGCCCTATTTGCCCCTTGCTTGGCTAAACAATCAGCCATAGCATTGGCAAATCTCTCTACCCATTGTATTGTAACATCCAAAATCCTCGTCAAGTATTTGAATCTTTTAAGTTCATTTTTGAAGCACCAAACTGTAGTCTCTGGTTTTTGTAGCCACTCCACAACCACCTGAGAATCACCTTCTATTAGTAGCTGCTCCACTCCTAACTGTACAGAAAACTGTACCCCTTGTAGTGCAGCTAATAATTCTGCCCTCGTGGAGTCCTCCTCACCTAAAGGACCTGAAAACAGAAAAGTTACAGAACCACTTACATTCCTTATAACCCCTCCCATCCCAGAAAGACCTGGATTGCCCAGACTACTACCATSAAARTTTAACTTCATGAAACCTTCAGGTGGGGGTACCCAGCTCTAAACATCATATTCAAGCAAAGAAAAGAAAACAAGGAAAATCTTCACTATCAGTAAYTGTGTAAACTACTAAGAATCATCATCATCACCCAAGCCTTAAACAAGAATCCTGTTTCACCATTATGTTCTGTTTAGTGCCATATCAATTGTTAAAATTATGGCACTTAAATCATTTCTGACTACTTCAACCCATGTCCTTTTTGGTCTACTCCTAGCCCTTTCTAGCCCCTTCATCAGCACCAGCACCAGCACTAGCACCACCATCATCATCCAAGCCTTATCCCAAGTTCCCAACCACATTCGGTTGGCAGCATGAATCCTGTTTCACCATTCTGTTCTGTTTAGTGCCATATCAATTGTTAAAATTATGGGCACTTAAATCATTTCTGACTACTTCAACCCATGTCCTTTTTGGTCTACTCCTARCCCTTTCTAGCCCCTTCATCAGCACCAGCACCACCATCATCATCCAAGCCTTATCCCAAGTTCCCAACCACATTCCGTTGGCAGCATGAATCCTGTTTCACCATTCTGTTCTGACATATCCATTGTTAAATTATGGGCACTTAAATCATTTCTAGCTACTTCAACCCATATCCTTTTTGGTCTACTCCTAGCCCTTTTAGCACCCCCCCCCAGCATATGTAAACTAACAAAAAGATAGAAATATCCATGGATTATATACAACAAACGTTTCTTAACACCTAAGAAATCAGACTTAGAAATGGATCCATAATCTAAATCCCAAATAGCACCTAAAATCTTAAAAAGATAAATATTTCAATCCAACACAAAATTTTCCCAATTTTCTAAAAAAACATGTAGAAATGGCAGTGCTGCACTGTACAGGACAGTCCTTACTTATGTTGGGAATTGAGAGATGGCAGTGAGACAGTCCCTACTTATGTAGGGGTCGGGATCCCCAGCCAATGGATCTTGATTAGAAGACAAAAGACCATATCCATATCAAGAACATAACATCAAATAGCTAGAGAGAAAATGCCTTGCGAAAACCATCTGTCCTCCTAGGAGAGGTTATGTTTGGTTCCTCAAGACAAATGACCCCACTAATATATGCTTTCTCCAGAATCAAGGTTGGCTTGTTGCAGCTTCAGTGTTTCACAGGGTTACCACCACCATTCCCACCTGACACATTTTATTGCAAAAAAAAAAAAGTTGGTCCACAGCTATATGGGATCTTGAGAGGGATGGACTAGCTACGGTCCTAACCTTTTGCTTTTTTTTTGTGCACAAACCAACCCAAACTTTATTACAGAATAAATAGATATAATACAAAGCAGGGAAGATTAAACCTGATTGCYAACCAAAATAAACCAAACATACATGATCTAAAGGAAAACACTACTGTGAGGCCTCAGTGAGCATAAACCTCGTATACCCAGATACCCATACAAGCCTAGCATACCAGTATCAGATGCATACATACCCAATGTTGATGCCAGATGCTGCATTGAGGCTTAGAGATTTCTCAACAGCAGTATGCATTATAAACTTAATTAAATTTAGCAAAATATAAGTCTTGAGACTTGACTTCAAAAACTAGAAAAAATGAGTATGATATAAGCATATTACATGGGATACCCATACCAATATCCATGTCCAGGATTTTAGGAATTGGAGTGTGGTATTCTCGTTTCCTGAATCCATGTTCATGTATCCAAATGCGGGCATCATGGTCTTCATATTACTTGATTTTGAGGTAGTCCACTTGGATCTCCTGCAAGGATCTATTCACTCTATGCTGTAGGAAGCTCATTGTGCAACCAATAGATGATAGCATTTCCTCTGTTACAGGCTAAATTGGCAAGAGAGACTGCTAATTAATTGCCTTCCTTTAAAGTGTGTTTAAACTTGATTTCCATCCATTCCAAGCTTCCATTATCTGAGCTTTTCAGTGCCACAGGTAGGAAAATGCATATTCATATGCTTGGTAGACACGGATATGCACATATGTTTTTGGCAATGCATATATATGTAATATATGACAAAAATTTTCATAGCAAATTTTTAAATTAAAATTGCATTACACCCAAATTAACCATATTTGTCTTGATGTCTTCTTGCTATGTGGCTAAACTTTTAAGCGAGTTTTTAATAATAAAAACATAATATATCCAATAACATATTTTCCCCATACCTAATTTTAGTAATAATGATCAAGACATTGATCAGATAGGAAAATTTCTGAATAGGTCACTCTTTCGTGCCCCATGACATATGGATGACACTTACTGGATTATACGTTGCATGGACATTTCTAAATGATGCCATGTCCCTGTTGGACACTTCTATATTTAGTGTAAGTTCTGTGTTGGACAACATTGCCCAAGCCGTGGCCTGGCTTTGTCCATGTAACAGATTGGACTTCTTTTCCAAGTCACGTAGAATTTTGAAAATTTTAATTTAGAAAAATTGCTAAGAATAACTTTTGTTTGCATAGGGCACCTAGATCATCACTTTGCAATACATGAAACCTTGAAGAATATTCCTAGGGCACCTAGATCACTTTGCTAGGTAAATAGAGTAGCAGAACCAAACTAATGTTTATAGATATAAAATTCCATATCGCCTTGCTAGGCATATATAGAATTTCAATTTTTACTTCAGCACCTAGCATAAGTAATAGAGCCTTTCCAAGTTTGTGGAGTGCATGATCACTTGGGGATATCCCTTGCTTTAAAATAAGACAATATTTTATGTGTTTTTACAGAGATGCACAGATATATAAATACATAAATATACATATCCACTGATAAAGTTAAAATACGAAATCCTTGTTATTAATAATTATGATCTAAATCCTTTCACACCTCCAACATCTTTTCCTAACTTTATTCTTGTTGAAAGCTGAAAAAAAAACAAACCTTATTCTTGTTGAAACATCCCAAACTGTAGTAAATTATATAAGATATTAATAAATTCAAATACTTTGTTATTTCACTGGAAAATAATTCTAACCTTATACAGATCAGAATTTAAACCAACTACCCACTATCCATTAAAAAAGTGGTTAAAGTTGAGTATCTTGCTATGGATTAAAAACATCCTACCCGGTTTTTTTTTTATAAATAAAATCATCTTCCATTAATTCAAAGATTGGTTACATGAAAATCCCCTTAGAGGCATGAAGTGCCGCCTCTCCAAACAGCAAATACATAAACTACAACAGAGATTACATGAATGTTGATGTTAAACAAGAGTTACAATTGCGCCCAGAACAATGTTTCCCTATTTGTCCCTTGTTTTGCCAAGACATCAGCAAATGCATTAGCTGATCTTCCAACCCACTGTACTGTTATAGACATATTTCTTGTCAGCCATTTGAATTTCTTTAACTCATTTTTGTAGCCCCAAGTGACATCCTCCGGATTAACATCCTACCTGGTTTTATACTTAATGTCTCCATTTTTTTCCAAGAGGCTTTTTTTTAACAAAAAAACAAAGAAAAAAAAAAGTGTAACAATAACCCATGTACAGTGAGTGAGCATACAATGRGATTACAATCCCCTGCTTCTATGACTTGAGAACATAATTCAAGCTACAGTGCAGCTGGGGATGATCCCTGCACTTCGTTATAACTGGAAGTCAAAGTGTGGAATTAGCTTCCAAGTGCATTCTGTTTATGAGGCTACTTCTCTGTAGGTCAATGGTTCATTTCTTTTGGCAATGGTGGTTCCTTACTTGAGCCCTATTAGAGTCCTTGAAGGTGAGGCTGGATTGGATCAGTTGGCTCGTGAAGTGGGACATGTCCTCTCCTCTATAGCAGTGTTTTAAAAGCACAAGGCACAAAAAAAAAGCACAAAGGCCTTTTAGCACCCAAGGGGGAAGGCACATGCCATTTCAAAGCAAGGTGCAAATTTTTGAAAAGAAAAATAGAGAATAAAAGAAAGAGTAATAAACTGAAGAAAATGAGAAAAAAGAGCAAAAACTAAATTAAGAAATACTTGAAGCACTAAGTGACCCACAAATAAAGGGTTGGGGCAAAAGAAGTACCACAAAAGGAAAACCAACGGGATTCTACAATATCTGCCTGGTTTGAAATGATATTATTTTTTGGCTTATCATTTCATTTGGACCATAAGTTCATCTGACTCTGAAAAGATCTCAAAGAAGTAGTGTATTTTTTATATACACTACTTCTAAATGATATTTTTTACTTATCAAAAAAACAGTAGTGTATTTTTTGGTAAAAGTAAAGTATTTATTAATTATAAAATTATATACACGATGGGTCATAAATTAACAGAACATGTTCCCATTGCTGTATAATGTGGTATACAAAAAAAAATTACATAGATGAGACAACACACAAAATATCTCAGTTCTCCAAACTCTGGATTTACTGTTGCATTCAGAAAAGAACTAACTTCTTCCCTTTAACTTTTTTCCACAAAAACAAAGTCAAGGATTTAAATCTTGGTTTTGAACTGGGCTTCAATCTGGCTTGAAACCAAAGTTTTCTCTCAAATTTTGGAAGAACTCCAAAGTCAGTGAGAAGCCTCAAGAAGAGAAATCAATAATTTGAATGGAGATCTTACTTTTCCTATATTTTCTGTCATATTTTTTTCTAGATGTTTGGAACTAAACATCGAAATTCCATAAATGCCAATGAAATTTTAAGTCCTTGGGTCAAATGCTAGGGTAAACCAAAATCAAATAATTTCCTAACATCTTAGGATATGGAACTTATGAGACCAAGTATTTGAATGATCCTCAAAACTATGGGGTCACAGAGTCAGAATAACCAAAACTTGGGTCCAACAACCACTAAGTAAACACGTGGAAACATACAGCATGTGCACGATGCCAATTAAAACCATTCGAAAACACCCAATTGTTAGCAACTATCATGCTAACTTTGTAGGTAATGAGATAAAGTTTCAGGGAAGAAAGGACGCAATATGATTCCCAAGTTTGCCTTCTCCAACTTTCGAGGTGCAGAACCTAGTAGCCCATTTACTCTTGACAAACTCTCAGAAGAGAAAATGATGAAATATACAAGACTTCTCCTCTGTAGACACCAAAATCAAGCAGATACAGAAACATTGGCCAAGTCGACCTACCATCTAGAAGCATCTAAAGCACGTCTGAGTTCATATTTTGGTCCCCATTTATATACAAATACAGAAAGAAAAGGATGCTGAGGAAAGCCATCAAATAGAGAGAAATAAAATATGGGTCTCACTGATAATGAAGGCCACATCAGAATATCCAACAAAACCAAGACCCAAGCTTCAATATACACGAAGAACAATACAAAAAATTAAAGGAAACAAAAAAGAAGAGGGGGAAAGCTCCTTGCTGAAAGTACCTTAGCAATCTTGATCTCGTCCTCAAGCTCGTGAAACCTGTTGTTTAATCTTCCAAATTTGTTGATATTTTGTTGATCCTCCCATGTAACTTCCGTATCTGATCCTCCACCCTTCAAAACTCAGATAATGTCAGACTTCAAACCTTCACGAAAATGTTAAAATAAAAAAAAAAAAGTGAAAAAGAATGCCAGAACGAGGGCTTTAGGGTTTTGCCTGTTGCATCCTTGATTCTAAGAGTGTGAGAGCAAGCTTTAGCAATCACTAGCTTGCCAGCTCTTGGGCTTGAGCTTGACCTGTTAGGCTGTTACAACTTCGAAACTTCGATCCTTCCGGCTCAGGCTAGAATCTCTCTCGGCCTCGGCAGAAAAATAAAGGGCATATTGGTCACTTAAAAAATATAAAGGAAGTCGTTCACGTTTACTCGTTCTCTTCTAGACCCTAACGATGGTCTACTGTGCAGAGACCCAACCTCCCTTCATTTTCTATCAATCATAAAAACCTCCCCTGTGTTTTGATGTTAATAAAAAAGAACCTGCCTTACGGTTTTGAAAAAAAAAAGTACAAAAGCCTCTCTTTCATTACAAAAATGTCCTTACTACCATTAGGGTATTATTATATCTATACAATTTAAAAATTGCAGCATTCCATTTTACCCGAAAGAAAGGGAAAGGTAGGGAAGAAAATCTTGTATGAATTTTCTTACTTTTCCTTCAAATCAAATATAGCCTTAGCTTCTCCAAAGACCATCTTTATATGGTTCTTTTGCCATTATCAACAAAACGATGCAACTAGGGGTACTCACAGTTTAGTTAATTGAACCATAAAACATTTTTTGGAACTGAATTGATACTATCGGTTTTTGGAAAATTGGTTACCGAAACTGAATCGAAGTTAGTCAGTTAATCAGTTCAGTTTGTTGGTTTTTTATTTTTATAATATATATTATAAAAATATATAATAAAAAGTTATAAATATATACAAATTATTATATTTTAAATAATAAATAATATATAATATACATAAATATATATAAAATATAGAAATATATATATATATATATATACCGGTCAGTTTGATTAACCGCTGGTTTTCTATATTGATTAACTGAAACTAAACTGGTASCTTCGATTTTTTAAAAACACCGAGCTGAAACCAAACCGACTATATTAAAATAAAACAAAAATCACCAGCTGACGAGTGGCTCAATTGTTAGGTTCACTCACCAACTGAGTGGTGGCTCTCGGTTGGTACATAAATTGGGTAGTTCCAGAATAAATGCGGTTTCAAGCCTGGCTATCGGTTCTCATCATCATTTGGAGATAAATTATTAAATAATTGCTGCCAAAAAGTGATGTACTATGCCAGAAAAAACAAAAAAAAAACTGGTTCACTCAGCATAGATGTGAATTCCATTTAAGCAATCACCAACTTTAAACTGGGAATTATTAGTGGTGTGTATCACTAAATACCAAAGAAAAAAAAAACAAAAATCTCTCGAAATTTTTGTTCTTTTTTCTTTTGCTTCACCTGAATAGAGGAAGTATAAGGAATGCGCCATAACCAAAATCCTCTAAAAGACAAAATCCTGAACTTCAATTTAACAAATAAGAAGCCAAAACGGTTTGACTTCAGAAATAAAGTCAAATTCAGAGTAAGAGGCCAAAGAAAACAACTCAAAAAACCTTCAATGTTTTTATTAGCTTATCCAAACCGATATTGATATTGAATTTTCAAAAGCAGCAGATAAAACGCTACCTTGTTTCCTTCAATTTATAAGAAGAGATGAAGGACATTCAATGTTCACATGAGAAACGCTATCTTGATATTAGCTTATCGAAAAACCTTCAATGTTCACATGAGAAAGAAGAGATGAAGGACATGAGGACCAAGATGAGTGAGAAAGAGAATGGTCTATTTAATTAGAAGGTGGGCTATAGGGCTGTTCACGGGTCGGGTTGGGCTGGTTTACTGATTTTTTCCAACCGACTCGACCTGGTCGGGTTACCTGAAATTGAAACTGAAACCGACCCTGTGTTAAGTAAAACCGACCTGATCGGTTTGAGTCGGTTTCGGCTCTACTTAGTGGTGACTTAGTTGCTTTTCAAGTGTTTATTTCTGGCTCTACATTTCCAAAGGAAACCAGCATTTCCTTAATATTTTGTGGCTCATCCATGGATCCAGTTGTGGAGGGAGCAGAGTTTGAGACAACTTAGTTAAGTAGGTTGTAACTAGGATAGAGACAACTTAGTTAAGTAAGAACTAAGTAGGTTGTAACTACTAACTAGGAACTAACTACTAAGTCGGTTGTGTGAATACCGAAACCGAACTAAATCATCGGTTTATGATTTTTTATAACCCGAAACCGACTAGTGCTGAAGAAAGCTCAACCGACTCGGGTTGGGCCAGTCCGGGTTGGTCGGTTTGGTCGGGTTGGGCCTTCTTATGAACAGCCCTAGTGGGCCATCTTGTTTCCTTCTTGATAGACATGAATAGTCAATATGGGGCAGGGATCTACTATCAATAAGAAGCTACCAACTCTATCCCAACAGTCCACTGCAACCTCACATCAAGGACATCTCCCTTGTCATTCATGTGGAGATGTTCCCGATGTACAGCTGCAATGGCCGATTGGGGTGGTCAATATGAAGGTAAATTCTCTTGATAGTTTCTTGTAATTAGTAAAGATGGATCGCACACGCCACCGTGGTTGTTTATCTTCCACCATCAGGGAGATTCCAATAAAATCGACTATTGGGAGGCCAATAGTAGGGGGTGCAAATGGATCGGATCATATGATCTGATACAATCCGAAGTCCAATCCTATTATGTTGGATTTGGATATTCAGATCAAATCAAATAATCGGATTCAATTAGAAATTGGATTGAATTCGGATCACTCCTTATCTTAATATATATATATATATATATATATATATATATA